ATCATCTGCCACATCCTGCACCCATCTTCTCCTTGGCCTTCCTCTTCCTCTCTTCCCAGGCATATACCCCTCCATTATTGTTCTCTCTAGACTTCCATGACGTTTCAAGTGACCAAAATATTTCAATTTTCTTTGTTTTATTGTCTTTACTAGCCAACCCTCTTCAATATTCAGCTCTTGAAGTATGGATGCATTTGTTCTTTTCTTTACCCAAGATATTCTTAGAACCTGTCTGTAACATTTATATTCAAATGCATTTATGCGCTGTTCCGCTTGTTAAGTAAGTGTCCAGGTCTCACAGGCGTATGTTGCAATGGGAAAGATGCATGCTCTTAAAAATCTGACCTTTGTAATTCTATCTACACAATTCCATAATTTATTCAGTTGTTTTAGTCTTTGAAGAGCAATTGATAGTCGCCGTTTAATTTCTTTCATTGTGTCACCATTGTTGGTAACCAGTGACCCAAGATATTCGAAATTTTCCACCACTTCCAATCTTTCCTCATTAACATATATTTCCTTCTCCATGGCAGTTTTGTTTGTATGCATTATCTTTGTTTTTGCTATGTTAAGAAATAAGTTATGATTTTCACTATTTCTTTGGAGTGAAGTTAATAAGTTTTCTTAACCATTTTGTGATGTTGATAGTAATACTGTATCATCAGCATAACGAATTTCTGGTATTTCATGACCACCGATGTTTAGGGCATCATATTGTTCCTTGTTTATATCATCTCTTACATTTCTCATTATATTTTCGGCGTACAGGTTGAACAAATACGGTGACAGCACACATCCCTGACGGACTCCTTGCTTGATGCCAAACCAGTCTGATGTCTCTCCATCTATTCTGACTGCTGCTTGTTGGTCTTGATAGAGCATTTTAATGAGCTGCACTATATGTGATGGAAAGCCCATATTTCTCATGATTTCCCAAAGCTTCTGATGTTGTACACAGTCAAATGCTTTTGAATAATCCACAAAACAAAAGAACAGATTTACATTAAATTCTCTACACTTCTCTATTATTAAATGCATGTTGAATATATGATCTCTTGTTCCTCTTCCCTGTCTAAATCCAGCCTGAGCTACATTAATCTCTTCTTCCATTTTCTTATGCAGTCTTCTCATTATAATTTTTAGTAGAATTTTACTTGCATGACTGATCAGGGCAATAGTTCGATAGTTTGTACATAATTTCAGGTCACCCTTTTTTGGTATTGGAATGAAGATAGTTCTCTTCCAGTCTTTTGGCCAAATACCATATTTCCATATCTTTTCACATAATGCATGATAGATTTTTATGCTTTCTTCTCCTCCTCTTTAATCAATTCAGCTGGTATCTCATCACATCCAGGTGATTTACCATTTTTCAGGCTCCTTATTGCCCATGAAATTTCATCTAATGAAGGTTCAGGTTCTGCCTCTACTGTTACTGGTTCATGTATATCATTCATATCCTCACTGTCATTCATATCATACATTCCGCTGCAGTATTCCTGCCATCTTCCTAGAATTTGTCTAGATTTTGTTAAAGTATTTCCCAACCTGTCACAAATAACATTTAACTGAGGTTGAAAATTTCTTGTCAATAACTTCATTTCCTTGAACATTTCGTAATCTCTTCCATTTTTATGATGCTGCTCTATTTTAATACAGCAATCTTGTACATACTGATTTTTATCCTTTCTTGTGTACTTTCTTATTTCTCGTGTTAAAAATTTATACTTCATCCTACTGTCATTGGTTTCTCCTTTCTTTTTCAGTTCTCTTCGTTGTTTTATTAGTTCTAACGTGTATGGTGTGATCCATGGTTTATGTTGCTTAGTCCTGGTGGGTATTAAGTCTTTAGCTGCTGTTATCAAGATATCCCTAGCTTGTACCGCCAGTTCATCAGGTGTCATTTCCTCTTGTACAGACATCAAGACCTCAAAACGGTTCTTCACTTCTACGTTGTATGCATCTGGTATTTTTGTGAGATCAAATCGAAATGGCCTTGGTTATCGGGTAAGCTTTTTGAGTTTTAATTTCAGATCTGCTTCTAGTAACTGATGATCTGTATCGCAATCTGCACTTCGCAGGGTTTTTGCAGATGTTATGCTCGATCTCCATCTTCTTTGTATTAAAATGTAATCTATCTGATTTTTGGTAACACCGTCAGGGGATGTCCATGTGAAAAGCCTTCTAGGGTGTTGTTTATAAAGTGTGTTAGCTATTGTTAATTCATTTTCTATGCAAAATTCAATCAATTTTTCTCCTGTTTCATTCCTATTACCCAATCCAAATTTTCCTAAAACGTGTCTCTCATTTTCAGCTCTGCCTGTACCTACTTTAGCATTAAAATCTCCCATTTTTATTATTATATCATTCTGATTAATTTTATTTAATGTGTCTTGCACATTTGGCATAAAAATCTTCAATTTCGCCCTCCTCTGCTGTTGAAGTTGGTGCATATACCTGTATGAAAGTTATGTTTTTTGGACGGCCTTTAAGTCTGATAGTTAGGATTGTATCACTAACTGGATTATATCCCATAATAGCTTTTGCTGTTGTTTTATCTAAACAAAATACCACTCCGCTCTGGCCTCTTACATCTCTACCAGAATATACGAAAAAGCTTCCATATTCATTGATAAAATGTCCCTTGCCACTCCAACGATGTTCACAAATTCCTAAGATCTGAATATTTAATCTTTCAATCTCATCACATACTACTTTAAGCTTTCCTTCATACAGACGTCTCACATTCCACGTTCCTATTCGCATTCTGTTTCTTAGTCTGACACAGTGGATTTCCTTGGTAACACAGTCAGGATTAACTCCGTCATCACGATTACTAGTACTGACCCCTGTATCACCCTCTTCCCCAGTGTTATCTGATCTGCCTGGCCTGGGGGTCCCGCCACCAGATCTCTTCTGTGTTATGTTTTCTTTCATGATTGTTATGGATTCTTGGCAAAATTTGCAGAAGGTAGTTTGCCGTTGCTTTCCTCCTGAGCAGTGACTATACTAGTCACTAGCGGTCACGAGCTCACCGTGGCTGCTGCTCGTGGGTCCTAGCCATGTAGTTTAGCCCCATTCCACGTAGCCGTGGCGATAGTCGCCGGAAAACCGCCTGAGAACCGCAAATTAAGTCACGCGACTGTGGCTCGAAAGGATATTTTGCGGCCGCCATCTTTGTCGACCGTTAGTCGGAGGATAGCCCGAAAGCACAATGGGTCAGTTTGATGTACTGAATGCTGTAGACTAGAAACACTTTTGCGAGAATTGATAACTATGATTATACAACCACGACCAGGCTGCAAAAACTAGGGTTGTACCAAATATTCGCTTCGTATTCGCTTCGGGGCGGAATAGTGGACCTAATAACTATTCGGTATTCGGCCGAATACTTGCGGTCGGGCCGAATACGAATAGTGGTTACCTTACACTCGTTTCTGCATATACTGCGATGGGCTGAAATAACTCTCTCATTAACACAATAGTTGCTGTTGCCTAAGTCTGTTGCAGCCGGGGAAACTGCGCCACGTTTGCATGGTACAGCATCTGGCAAGGTCTTTGCCTGCTGACCAATGTTACCACTTTTTTCTTTCCACAAAAAACATCCAGAACGGAGTGCATGGTCCAGTTATTCGTATTCGGCCGAATAGTGAAAATCACTATTCGGTACAGCCCTAGCAAGAACAGCCAGTGGCAAAAGAAGAGACCAGACATGAGCACTAAGTGAGAACAGCAAGTACAGCAGCAGTATGCAGGAAGTCAAACAAAAAATAATCAGAAACTATTATTCTCAGTACGTGTGTGTGTGTGTGTGTGTGTGTGTGTGTGTGTGTGTGTGTGTGTGTGTGTGTTCTAGTCATCATTCGCAATGTTTCTTTCGTTTGTCGCCATTATTGCGCATGTCTGGAAGCGGCTCTTCCTTGGCCATGATTGTCCTTGACCTGTCAGCATTGGTGCATGACTAGCAGAGTGGCGTTGCTTTTCTGCAACAAGATGGCTTCTTGCATTCTGCCAGACGCTGCTCTGAGAATCATCTCGCGTTGTTGACGCTAAATAAGCACGCCAAGACCGTAGGAGATTCCGCCATTCCACCTGACAGCAGGACATGCGGCTACCTGCAGCGAGGACACACTATGACGCAACACTGCCCCCACAGAACGACCTTTTCATCTTGCGTGCGGTAATCATTAGTCTTTCTGATGCCTTTAAGATTACTTCAAGACATTAATTGAGCTGACACATAATTTAAATGCACGGAATTACTGTTATATTGCAGTGTATACCGTTTTTTTTTTCTACTGATAAACCCCAATGGTGTATGGGTGTTCAGTCGTGAATTTACTCGGACACCTGAATATCCTCGACAGAAAATGCATGGTATGCTCGTGATCCGGGTCTTATCAAGTGATGCAAGCTACCTCGGTCTCACAAGAATGGTGTGCTGGAGTAGGATGTTGTGGTTTGAAATACCTTGACCTACATGGGAACATTGTGGCTGGTAGAGAATTGCATCCTTTCAAAGACAGTCTTGTCTAAGGAAGATGCTACGGAGAGCGAGTTGTTGAAACCAGATGTTTTTCGTGCGGGAATAGACCCACTGCCTCCTTAACAAGCATATCGTAGGAGTCGACTGATTGGGGACTTCGTTAGAAGTCGGAGTGCATCTGCTCAAGCGGCACAGAACAACCAATTGCACACAAATAAGCCAGTAAACCGGATATGCACGCAAAACTCGGGCCCTGACACAAATCCGAAGTCTAAATGAACGAACTTTCTGCCAAAGCTTACAGCGGTGAACAAGGAAGAAGAAGAAGAAGAAGAAAACATGTGGGAGAAGAAGAGGGTATAGGAGGAGAAGCATGGAGTATTTTTTATTTCACGAAGTTTTCAATACCTTCTAATCACATGCCCATCTTTTCCGAAATGGTAGCCCTTTGAATGATTTGTTGTGTACTGAAAGTTGTCTAGTTCATTACATGTTTGATATGTCCCAGACAGTCATGAGCAACAGGTTCGGCAGAGAGCACAGGCAACTGCCTCACTGCATCAGGCTGCTGCCAGAGAACCAGCCTCGTAACCGCCAGGAGTATCTCATTAGAAAAGCTTTGAACCCTGAGGATGCGGACATGTACTTCGACAACGCCGGCCGCTTTTTGTACGATACCAAGTGCATAGCGCAAGAACTGGAGCGGATCAAGGTGGAGAAGAGAAGGGCGTTGAGCCTTGTCAGCAACCATGCACAGTTTCTCAAGGTAGGCGTCGAATGTGTTTTTGATGAAACTGTTAGTGGACATTTGATTCGCCATTGTGGGTAGGCGTCGAATGTGTTTTTGATGATACTGTTAGTGGACATTTGGTTCACCATCGTGGGTAGGCGTCGAATGGGTTTTTGATGATACTGTTAGTGGACATTTGATTCACCATCGTGGGTAGGCGTCGAATGGGTTTTTGATGATACTGTTAGTGGAGATTTGGTTCACCATCGTGGGTAGGCGTCGAATGGGTTTTTGATGATACTGTTAGTGGACATTTGATTCACCATCGTGGGTAGGCGTCGAATGTGTTTTTTGATGATACTGTTAGTGGACATTTGATTCACCATCGTGGGTAGGCGTCGAATGTGTTTTTTGATGATACTGTTAGTGGACATTTGATTCACCATCGTGGGTAGGCGTCGAATGTGTTTTTTATGATACTGTTAGTGGACATTTGATTCGCCATCGTGTAGCTAAATAAGCTGCCCTGTTCTGTTGGAAGATGTCAATTGCAATCAAGAAAAAAGTCTTAAAGTGATGTGTAAAACCTATGCTGTTACATGCATGTGAGACATGGATAATGAACAAACTAAAAAAAAAACAATCACCCCTGGAGAGGTCCCAGAAGCCTTTTTCAGCCGTTAGGCCATATTTATGGGCCGGTTATATTTAGGGCCCACGGCAAAAGCCAGGGTGAGGCTTTAAAATGATTATAAATTGCATCCCACATGGGGACTATTATGTTGGTAATTGTTTATGATTCGGGCTGTGGAACCAATTACGTACCACACGTTCCCTGGAAGCAAAAGTGTTAAATGAAAGGAAAGACACAAACAATCCAAAGTACGTTCTTTTGGACCAAAAGTGTTAAATGACAGGAAAGACAGAAGTAACCCAAAGTAACAGACTAGATAATAACGGTTATTTACCCGTTTTGTTTTAAAGAACTGGTAGATTCATTTATGGAAAATATATACTTAACACCTGTTGACGCTTTTCGAAATAACAGGAATCAATAGGCTGCTGCCAAAACAGCCAACAATTAACCGTGTGTGTTTGTGTGTATGTGTGTGTATGTGTCATATACTAATATATATGTTTTCAAAAATCAATGTGAAACAAGTAACAAGCAAAAGAAAACCGCAACTAGGGGAGGAACTGTGAGGATTCGTTCGTGGCAAGGTCACAAATTACGATGTTTACATTTTAACAACATAAACTCAGGCAGCAGTTGAAATTCAGAAACGGATATACACTATTTATAGATTGTAAGCAATCGATAAAGTTTGTCACGCACCAGTAATTTTGTTAAACTACTCACACATAAGCCTGTGTAGGGTTGCCATATGTACGCCATTTTGCTGACATTCCCTCGTTCACAAGTTTATCTGAGCGTTCACAAACCTGTGTATGTGTGTGTTTTTATGCGCGCGGGTGTGTGGATATATATGTATAATGTGTGTTTATTTTATATATATATATATATATATATATATATATATATATATATATATATATATATATATATATATATATATATATATATATATATCCATTATCCGCCAGTCGCTGATCATGGGAGAGCCGGAAAAACCCCAGGTGGACATCGCTTCCATGAGAGCAAGGTACAGAAGAGCTCAAGCGAAAGCCTCCCAGTCCTTGCTATCAGCTGATGTGTCCAGGTCAGAGGATAGCGAGACAGGAAACATGAAGCCTAAGAAATCCTCAGCCACAGTCAGGAGAAGTCCACGGCCATCAAGTTCTGCGTCTTTCACAAGCACAATTATGTCCCCAACCAGCGATGCTACATCATGAGACAAGCATTTGCCTTTGTCGCATCCGGCGTCATTCTCTAAGTAATAGTTAGGAGATTATTCTGTTTCTTTAATCATATAACTTAGTATAATTCTTAGACAATGGTTTCGTTATATATTTTTTTAATTTACAAGGCAGATTGTTCAGTAGTACCAAATCCTGCTGCAAAGAAAATAAAACTATTGAATTCTTCTGCGTAATGAGTATTGTTCGGGTTCCCTGATAACTCCTCACTACACTATTCTTTTCTAGACCGTAATGCTCTGTGGAAGGAGGGATAGAGGAAGACAACGAGAGAAGATGCTTGACAGTCTTGTTGCATGACATGAAGGTGTGTCGGCACACGAATTAATACATGCTGCAAGAGATCACAGATTATGGAGGGGCATGGTCGCCCACGCCAGACGACAAGGCACCTGATGATGATGAATGCTCTATGCCTCTGCACAATTGCCTCGCTCCCAAAAAGCGGTAATAATCTCTAGTCTGTCATGCAACAGTTTACCACCAAACGATGCAGACCCAGCCAGTCTATCTCTTTTCTTTTCCGAACATACCTGCATCCGGCGGAGAAAATATCAAAGCTAGCAAGGCAGTCATCATCATCACCAATTTCCTTATCTGCTGTTAAGCGTTGTGGGGAGGAACAGTTTGCGATCCATTGCTTGATGGGCAGCAATGGCTATTGTCATTTCTTTAATGTCATCAATCCATGTTCTTCTAGGGGGCCCTCTTGATTCACTTCAGAACCTTTCATGTCTAGCGCCCGCATTGATAGTTGTTTTGTCTTCTTACTAAATGACCAAACCATCTGATCTTCCGTTTTTCAATGAATTTTCTGCATGGTGTTGTTGCTACAGACTGTCTGATGATATCATTTCTAACTTTGTTTCGGATGTTCAAGTTGGTGGCTTTTCTCAGGCTTTTCTCATTTCACAAGTGTTAATTTTACGTAGGTTAGTCTTTGATAATGTCCAAGTCTGGCACTGGTAGCACAGTATTGATCTGAATATGCTGTTTACAATCTGTTTCTTGGCTCTCATACTTATGTTTAGATGTCTTAATAACGGTGTCAGTTGGTATACAAGTACACTGACTTGTTGACATCTTTTTTTTCTACTTCCCGATCTATTTTTCCGTCCTCTGAGAATATCATCATCATCATGTAGCAGGTCCTTTGCAGAACGTCGTTCTCATCACAGTCTGCCTGAAAGAAACTCGGTCTCTCACCAGCTCTCCCGCCTCATGCACTTTCACACTCAAGGAATTACTTATACCCTGTGCCCATCTTCGTGTCGGTCGGCCCCTGCCCCTCCTTCCTGGTACCATGCCTTCTGCTATAATTTTTTTCCCAATCCGTCGTGGAGCTTGATATGACCAAAATATGTCAGCTTTCAAGAAAGGATGGTGTTTATTAGCCAATCTTCCTTGATGTTCAGATCTTTTGAGATGTCACTATTTCTCATCTTCTTTGTCCAAGATATTCTGAGAATCTTTCTATACCATTTCAGCTCAAAAGCCCCAATTCTCTTTCTTAAGGACTGAGAGATAGTCCACGACTCACATCTGTATGTAGCCACAGGAAAGATGCATGCTCTCAAAATTCTAATTTTTATCTCCTTGCTGGTGCTTAACCATAGACTTTTAAGGCTGTTCAATCTTTGCCTTGCTATGGCCATCTTCCTTTTTATCTCTGTCGAACAGTCTCCATTGTTGTTTATTATAGAGCCTAGATATTCACAGTTTGTGACATTTTCAATTTCTTCATCATTTATTGTTATTTTTGGGTGACAGTCAGTTTTATCTGTGGACATTATTTTCGTTTTCTTTAAATTGAAGAACATATTTTTATCTTTACTGTGCTTTTGGACAGACAATATTAAATTTTCTATTTCCTTTACGCTGTTCGAAAGGAGGACTGTGTCATCTGCGGAGCGGAGTTCTGGAATAGGGTTGCACCCAATTTTGAGCGGATCATAACTGTCACACACAAGTCTGGTCATTTTTAACATTTCTCATTATATCTTCTGCGTATATATTGAATAGGTATGGTGAGAGAATGCACCCCTGCCTCACCCCCTTTTTCACCTCGAACCAATCAGATGTTTCACCAGCTGCTCTGGTGGCTGTTTGTTGTTCATGATAAAGATTTTCAATTAAATGCACTAAATGCGCTGAAAACCCCATGCTTTTCACAATTATGTCTCCAACCAGCGATGCTACATCATGTGACAAGCATTTGCTATAATCAATGAAACAAGCATGAAGATCTACGTTGTATTCTCTGCATTTTTCAAAAATTATTCTCATATTAAAGAAGTGATCCCTAGTTCCTCTACACTATCTGAAACCCGCTTGTGCTTCATCTAGCTTATATTGTAATTTCCTTTTAATCCTTTTCATGATAATTCGAAAGAGGATTTTGCTAGCATGACTTATTAGTGCAATGGTACGGTAGTTGGAGCTCTGAGAATATACTTTCTAGATATTTACATTCTTTAACTTGCTTCAGACAAGTAGCATTCAACCATATATGCAGCGGACTAGGAATTCTGCTGAACTGCAATGCTTCAGTTTTAGTAATCAAGGCAGTAATCGTTTATAAATAAAATACTGTTACTTATGTCTTATTTGGGTCTTATTCCACACATGATGGTCTAATTGATTCGTTACTCTTCTAGACATGTTCATAAAAGCCTTTCGGCATTTGACTTTTATAATGACATGTTTCTTGCGGCTATATAATTGTGTGTTTATAAAACACGGTACTGTATTTTGATACACAATTTCAATGATATTCTACATAAACAACAAATATTTTTTTTTAAACATTAAAAATTTTTTTAACATAATGTTTTCTAAAGAATTGTTATTCCCCCTTCTCTTTTCTTTCTTTCTGTTGCCTCTTATATTCTTGTTCTTGTTCTTCTTCTTCTTTTTCGTCATTATCACCATTATCTTTTTCTTCTTTCATCATCATCATCATTATTCTTCTTTTTCTGGGTGTATATATATATCCTCTTTTCTTTCCTTATATTGTCTGTTATCTTATTTTTCTTATACCTTCTCCCCCTCTTCTTTTTCTACTTTCTCTGCTTATTTTTCTTCATCCTCATCATTATTATATTTTTCTTCTTCCTTCTTTCATCTTCATCATCATCAACATCATCATTATAATTATCTTTTTCTTGTAATTTTCTTCTGGTCATCCTCCCTCATCTTTGATCACCTATTCCTTCTCTTCCTTCTCCTTCTTTTCTTTCTTCTCTTCCTCCTCCTCCGTGTTCCTTCTTCGTGAGCGATGAGCAATATTCTTTACTCTCATGCTGTTTATACAATTATTTGTTGTCCAGCCGTCTGCCATGTAGATCTTTCACTGTCTGGAAAGTAAAAGCGGCAAGCATGTATTATTTGCCACAAAGCTCATTAAGTGCTAGATGTTCCACACAATTATAGAATTAGCGCCATGCACCTTTTTAGCCTCTATGTTTTTTTTTTTAATGAAACCACACACAAAGATATACTAAATACAATACAAACTGATTAGAAAATTCAACGGACAAGACAACAGAGCTTGCAAACAACCAGTGTCAGCCTGGAGTCAGAGATACTCAACAGTGTCAATTATTACTGCTTTTCGTCCTTCTTAGGACGTTATTTTTTGTTATTTGAAGCCCCACTCTGGCTTTTGCCAGGGGCCGCAATATAGGCAGGTCAACATTATGGCCAAATGTCTGAACGCGGTTTCTGGGACCTCTCCACGGTGATCCTCATCCGCATGGTGGCACTTTGTGTCATCGGGTGTTTATCGCTTGTGTGATGTCCTGGTGGGGTAAAAAATCCAATCCAATCCAATCCAACAGTGTCAATTATGGACACAATGCCTAGTTAGAAGTAATAAGAGGAGAGGAGAGACAGAGAGAGGGAGAAAGAGAGAAAGAAAGAAAGAAAGAAAGAAAGAAAGAAAGAAAGAAAGAAAGAAAGAAAGAAAGAAAGAAAGAAAGAAAGAAAGAAAGAAAGAAAGAAAGAAAGAAAGAAAGAAAGAAAGAAAGAAAGAAAGAAAGAAAGAAAGAAAAGAAAGAAAGAAAGAAAGAAAGAAAGAAAGAAAGAAAGAAAGAAAGAAAGAAAGAAAGAAAGAAAGAAAGAAAGAAAGAAAGAAAGAAAGAAAGAAAGAAAGAAAGAAAGAAAGAAAGAAAGAAAGAAAGAAAGAGAGAGAGAGAGATAGAGAGAGAAAGAGAGAGAGAGAGAGAGAGAGAGAGTCTATATTCTTAAGCCATGTGACGGATGAAGGAAACCACCGTTAACTTGAAAAAGGGGTTTCCAGTTTGCCAAGACCTGTGGACTCCACTTGGTTTCCAGTTTGCCAAGACCTGTAGACTCCACTTGGTTTCCAATTTGCCAAGACCTGTGGACTCCACTTGGTTTCCAGTTTGCCAAGACCTGTGGACTCCACTTGGTTTCCAGTTTGCCAAGACCTGTGGACTCCACTTGGTTTCCAATTTGCCAAGACCTATGGACTCCACTTGGTTTCCAGTTTGCCAAGACCTGTGGACTCCACTTGGTTTCCAGTTTGCCAAGACCTATGGACTCCACTTGGTTTCCAATTTGCCAAGACCTGTGGACTCCATTTCCAATTTGCTAAGACCTGTGGACTCCACTTGGTTTCCAGTTTGCCAAGACCTGTGAACTCCACTTGGTTTCCAGTTTGCCAAGACCTGTGGACTCCACTTGGTTTCCAGTTTGCCAAGACCTGTGGACACTTGGTTTCCAATTTGCCAAGACCTGTGGACTCCGCTTGGTTTTCCTGAGTTCTGCCGCGGTTCCTTTACTTTTTCTTTTTCTTCGATCCTTCTGTCGGAAAATAAATTCTATCAGGTCTGTAACCGAAAAGAAAGCAAATTTCTTCTTCTTTGTTCGTCCAAGTGATGTTATTGGGTTGTTCCTCTTTACTTGTGCCTGTTTACAGTAGAGCTGCGATATTTGCGCCTTTCAACAGACAC